CGGAGGCGCATCCGTGCCCTGCGGGCAGATTAGTTAACAGAGGTGCAACAACTGGTTACAGCCACTTCCCACCATTCACGTCTGTTTCGAACATGATTCAATCCCACTACTGACCATGCCAGGAAGGATTAGTTGTACCCATGCTGATCATCACTGGCTCGAGCGAAGCCTCGAACTGGACAAACGACTCAGAGAGAACGCGTCGGGAAAGAGAGGCTCCAGTCTCGGGATGAGCTCCCAATACACGGATCCCCGCTGCCGCCCTGCATCCGAAAAGATCCCCACGATGGAAGCATACAGTCAACCCGTATCATAAGGACGCACGATGTTGGTGCAAGAGCCTTGGAAGGCCATGTGGACACTTTGCAGGCGGGGCGCGGCCAGCGAAAGCGGCCAAGGATGGGCCGAAAGGGAAAGCGGAAAGTTGCTGATCCTTACTATGCGGGCTGACTGCATGCTTGGGAAAGTGGCCAAGGGCAGAGCCCAAGCCGATGCAAATCGTAGAAGAGCGAGCAACCCTTAAGTCGGGCCTGTCCCCCTACAGGGGGATTATCAACGAGAAATAAACAGTACTCAAAAAATAATCAAAACTGGTCAAAAAAAGCTCAGAAAATACTGCCCTGACTATTTCTTGACTATTTCTGAATTTCCCCCGTGTAGAAGCCCCTTCAATCCTCGTCCAGTCTCCCTCCTCCCCTCCAACCTCCTTGTTCTTCCTCCTGCCGCGCGCGGGAGTGCCCCATGTGCGCAGCGGGGGCAGACGCTGCCTCACTGCACACCGCCCGGAGACGCGAGGCGCTGGCGAGCGGCCCGGCCACGCCACCGCCTCACACCAGCACCTGCCGCGGGTACGCTGCCCGAGCACTCCCGCGGAGGCCCACTTCGCGGGCGTAGTAGGTCCCGTTCAGCCAGCTGGGCCGGGGCAGCCCGAACGCGCCGGCCAGGATCCTCTCCGCGATGAGCAGCGACGCCTCCGCCCAGGGGCCGTGCCACGCCGCGGATCGCGTGGCCGCGAAGTCGTTGTTGGCGAAGTGCAGGCCCGGCGCAATGCCAGACCAATTGCCGGTGCCCTGCACCATGTCTTCGTACTCGCGCGGGGAGCTGACCCCGCTGCACACCGATGCCAGGCTGTCCTCGAAGATGACGTCCTGTGGGCCGGACTGCATGCCAAGGTCGCCCTCCGGGAAAGTGCCGCTGTGCGCCCACACGGAGTAGACAAGCGCGGTCGGGGGGGCGATCCCCGCCAGGGAGACGTTCCGCTGCGCAGACTGCGGCGCGTGCATCTTCAGCAACTTTTCGTGTACCCGCTGCCGCAATGCTGGAGAGTCCACGGCACCTCCCTCTGTGAGCACCTCCGCCGGCTCCGCGCTGTTCGCGCGCGGCTGCGACGCCCAGAAGTCCATGCAGTGGGGCGTGCTGGCGGGGCAGAGCTGCGAGTGGCGGTAGAACACCTGCAGCACTCCTCTGCATCTGCGGAGATCCGAGCTTCGCCTGGCCGTCGCCCACACTGGCTTGCCACCAGGGTCCACCTGGTCCGAGCACACGACTTCTCCGTCGTGGTAGTGTATAGACACCGGGGGATCCCCCATGTCCTCTGCGACACCTCGTGTCAAATTGAGCCGCGAGATCCACCAAGCATCATCGTAGACGGCATACACCTTGACTGTGGTGCTGCCCTCCGTGACGTGCTTGGGAAACTGGCGCGAGACGCAGGCCAAGGCCGCCCAGCGCCGCCCGACCGCCTGCTCGACGCCCTCCACGCGCGCTAGCGCGGGCCTGGGAACATTCAGGACGACCCTGGCACTCCTGACGGCAACGCCGTCTCGGAAGCTGAGGCACCACATCCCATCGCAGCCGGACACCCCCACCAGCTCTGTGCCGAAGGCCAGGCGCGCGCCAGCGGCAGCCAGCTGGTCCAGCATCGTGTCCAAGGCCACGCCGTAGCCGGCGTGGCGACCTGACGAGTCCACGATCTTCCTGAGAGGCTGTGCGTAAGGCCATGCCACCTCGCCCCGCACGTCGCTGTCGTTGCAGGTCGGGTCGTAGCAGGACGTCGGCAGCCGCAGCGCGGCCATGATGAGGTCCGCGGGCAGGTGCATGTCCCCGGCGAAGCGGTAGGCTCCCACGTCCACCCGGTAGTCCTCGATCTGGGTGGTGTAGGTCCGGCCACCCGGCCGGCGGTACGCCTCGAACACGCACACCTGGCCGGCGGGCACACCGCCAGTGCTCGCTGGCCCGGCGTCCACCGCCAGCCTCCACGCGCTGTAGACCCCCGCCCAGCCGGCGCCCACCACGGCCACCTCGCACTCCACCGCGGGCGCGGCCTGCGCCGCCAGCGCCGGGAGCCAGGCGAGGAGCAGCAGACGGACGGGCGCACGGGGGGGCATCGCTGGCCCGGACCGCCGCGAGCGACGGGCGGGGGCGGCGTGCCACTCTGCCGCTCTCCAACCCTATCCGCCTTGAGCCGCAGTGCGAGATGGCCACACCTACACGTTGTCCCTGAGTCGTCAACCCCTTTTCAGGGCCAGCGTCTCCGCAGGGACCCCCAAGCACCCAGCGCCGATTTAGACTCCGCGGTGCCTTCCCCAGACTTCCGACGTCATGCTCTTCCTACGATTCGGACCCTCGAAACCACTGCAAGCCCGCCTTTCCCGTCGCGGCTGAGCTTCTGACGGCCCTGAGCTTCGAGAACGCTCCCCAGAGGGCCCACAGCGCGAAAGAGCGCGTCCCGAAGCTAGGACGACGCCTGGAAGCTTGGGCCGCGCACCCCCTCCTCCTCCTCCTCCTCCTCCTCCTCCTCCTCCTCCTCCTCCTCCTCAGACCTCTCCTGGAGCCCGCTCTGACCATAGCACCGAGGCTCGGGGGGGCGACGACCGGGGCAAATGACCCAGGCGAGAGCAACACATGCATCGAAGGGTTATATGTTGCTCCCCTCGCACTTCAGGACCACATCCCATAAATAATTTCGAGCACCCAGGAAAAAGTCGACAGAGTGTCGAAACAGTGTCGGACGAGTGTTTCCCAGGGCCCGACACGTGAAAACCCTCGAGTTTCGGTACTTGTTTGGTGCTCGAAATTCTTTATGGTCATCCAAGCGAAAGTAGGTTGGAACATCATAACCCAAGGGCGGCGATGGTCAATGCCTTCGGCGAAGCTCCCGGGCGACTGCGCGTGAGCTGCCCGCCCCCCCAGGCTGTCCGCCCCGAGACCCCCTCCTCCGAGAGGCGACCCCAGCCGTGGTGACGACGGCGCCCCCGGCGTCCCGGGTGACATGCAGGCACGGTGCGGCCTGCATGCGGGCTCCGGGGCCGCGGCCCGTCGTCGTCGCCGTCCTCGTCCCCCTCTGTGGCTCGGTGGCGCCAGCCGTGGGGCCTTCGCAACACCAGCACGGGGCGGCCTGCATGCCGGCTCGAGGGGCCGCGGCCTCCTCAGACCCCGTCCTCCCGCTTCGGATCCTCGAGCGCTCGATCCTCGAACCCCGTCCGCCCGGCGGGCAGCCATCTGGGGAGGAGACAGACGATGACCCGAGCAGAAAGTCTCGGAGGTCCGCGCAGATTCCTCGGATGGGCGCCAGACCCACCTGGCGGCACCTCCAGCGCCAAGCCCGGCTCGATCTGCACGCCAGGGAGGGGGGTCCAGCGCCGATCCGCCGATCCGAGACATGCGCGCGGACCTCCGAAAGCTTGTGTTCATGTCATCCTCTGTTCCTCGACCAACGCCGTCGACTGCCACAAGATGAGAGAAATGAGCACTGGACCCCGAAGCTCCCCTCGGACTGAATTTGCGTCCTCGTCCTGAGCTGCATATTGCGGCCCTATGGGACGCACAGGGACATACTAATACTACATGTCCTCCTTGGAGGCGCGCGTCCGACCCGAACGTATACCCATCTTGTAGTATATCCTTTCCCGAGCGGTGTGGCCACAAAGCGCACGCCAGGACGCATGTATTATAAGATTTCTCGGTGCGCGCGTCGCCCCTGGGGAGGGGGGGGGGGGGGGGCGACGCACATATAGTATAAGAATGTTGGGCTGACGCCGATCCTAGGGTCCAGGAGGAGGCCGAGGAGGCCAGAAACGGCGAAAACAACTGAGTCGTTTTTCCTCCAAGAATCCTCCTCATGGCCCGCCCCAGAAAGCCCTACATCTGGAAGAAGTGGCATCTCTTGGAGAAGAAGAAGACAGAAGAAGAAGAAGCAGCGCCTAGACGGCGCATTGGCAAACTGTGTGCAAGCACATGTTATAATAAAGAAGAGACGCAGGGCTCAATCAAACAAGGGCGCGTGCCTCGCCGGGCCTCGAACGAGGTGCATCTCTTGGAGGGCACCTTCTAGTCCCAGAAACGCCCTGTCAAGCGCGGCATATGCCTGGCCAAGCCCGCCCCGGGCCCAGCAGCAAAACGTATGCCTCCCTGGCGCATGGCCACGACGGCGCATGCGCAGATCGGACTTTTTGTCGGGGCGCTGGAAAAATCTGGCCTTCGGGTCAAGTCGGGCATGTCCTTCTTACAGGGGGATTTTGGACGAACAAAGGGAACGGGAAAATACACCCAAAGTGCTCAGAAACGGTCTACACACCATCCCCGGACTATTGCTTTACTATTTTCGATTACTCCTCCCGCAGGGGGACACGCCCGACTTGACCTTCGGGTCACAGCTCGGTTCTCTGGCGCTCGCTCTCACAACGCTCCGGCCTCCCCTGCAACGCCGCCGGCGAGGCGCCGCGACCCGAAAACGCACTCCGAGGAAGGAAGACCTCCGGGGACCGGCGAAATCCTCCTCGGACCCCGCGGCCGTCCCGGCAGAGGGGCAGGCCCAGAGATCCGACGTCGTGCTTTTTTCCGTGCGCGGTTCCAAAAATCGGGAGCTTAAGAGGGGGGTGTCCAAGAGGGGGGGTGCAAATCATGACCGGCGGCATGTGCGCGGCCCAGCGGGGGGGCCAGGGACGTAATGAAATAAGAAGAGGCGCCATGAGATCTGGGGAAATATCATGGCCCGCGCC